AAAAATTTAACTAAAAGCAGTTATGGTGGGTCGTCATGTCCTAAGCCAGCATCTTCCCTGACAAAGATCAACATGGATCTTTACGGAGCCTAGTCTTTCTGCATCTAAGATAACACACCTGTGGGATGTCGGGTAACTTGTAACTTCCCTTTTTCAGGGCCCCTCAGCGTGCAACCAATGGCACCATGGGGACCCCAAATCCCCTCATTGTTATTGTTACCATGTTCATTGTTGACTGTTAACTGCCCCGCACCCACCTAAGTAAAGAAGCACCTGTCCATCATTTTACTTTTACCCAATCCCAGAGCTTTCCCGCTTTGCTTTCTCCCAGCCCCCCAATCCATCACCAATGGAGTTCATGTCACCCACTTACGGCTCCTCCTCTGATGGTAAATTATAAAAACAAGGTAAAAACCCGCCATTCTCCAGAGCATTATCCCAATCCGTTGAGACTCTGCTTCCTGGTAACTGTTGACAGTTTGGCTCAAATAAACTCACATAATTCTTTACAGGTTTGAATGTTTTTGTTGTTGTTGTTTTTTTTTACGTTAACACTTTCTTCATGCGTTCTTTCTCCTTACAATTCCTTAGTAACTGTTGACAGTTTGGCTCAAATAAACTCACATAATTCTTTACAGGTTTGAATGTTTTTGTTGTTGTTGTTTTTTTTTACGTTAACACTTTCTTCATGCGTTCTTTCTCCTTACAATTCCATTTTGTTGTTGTTCTTGTTTTTTTACATGAACACTTTCTTCATGCGTTCTTTCTCCTTACAATTCCAACAATAATTTTTATTCCGATGGAGTCAACTCCCACGTGGAGTGCACCTCTTCTCTAAGTGTGGCCCACAGATCCCTGGTGGGGCGTGGGGCCTTCTCCGAGGGTGTGGCATTTTGATAACAATACTAAGATGCCCTTGCTTTCTTCCATGTGTTAATGGCATAGAAGCAAGAGTGAGCGAAACTGACAGCAACCTCACACCTGCCGAGGTGCTAGGGACCAAGCACTAGAATTGGGGCGTGGGGCCTTCTCCGAGGGTGTGGCATTTTGATAATACTAAGATGCCCCTGCTTTCTTCCATGTGTTAATGGCATAGAAGCAAGAGTGAGCGAAACTGACAGCAACCTCACACCTGCCGAGGTGCTAGGGACCAAGCACTAGAATGTTTTCTGATAAATACATTCAAACCTCGTTTCTCCAAGGTCTCCATTTCCAACAATTCAGTTCTCGATTAAGTTGTTCACAGAAAAAAATGTCTCGGTTGTCAACCCAAACTTCAGTTTTCCACCAGACAACCCTTTCATGCTGAAACCTCAGTGGGCAAAAAGCATCTCTCAGGCCAGAAACAAAGGAGGAAGTGCTGTTGTTGCTGGGGAAATCCAGGATTAGCTCAATTTTAAGTCATAAAGGGGCCGCCAAGGGTGCTACTGCTGCTAAGGGTGCGAGGGAACAGCGGTCACAGGCCAGAGAAGAGGCAGGGAGACTGTGGCTGCTTTGGGCGAAGGAAAAGCAGGGAGCGGGTGGCAGCATTTGGAGGCAGCGACATGGAAAGAAAGGACGATGCTGCACGAGGGCCTGGTGCTGAAAGTGGTGATTTAAGGCGAGTAGGGGCAGTTCCATAAATTTAAGAGAAGAAGTGCTTATTTATAGATTACACAGTACATGAAACATGTACTATATATAAGGTTAAAACAGCATCGTTTTGGAGTCTGGGAAAGATGAACTCAATTTACATTATTTCTAATCAGGAAAAAAAACGATTCCATTTTCGGATAAATGGTTTGTCGAACAGCCTTCCGGAACGAATTAAGTTCGCAAACTGAGGCCCCACTGTAGAGCCATCCTAATAAATGGGACGCTGTTGCTATTACATTCTGAAATACGCGAACATTTGAGAGGATGGCCCATGCGTGATGGTACAAAGCCATGCGTGGATAAAGCCTTAATTCAATGCGGAAGCCAGAGGAACACATTTCAGTGTTCATTGTGATGATTTAATTCCACATTGCAGGTAACATTTAAGTGGGTATCATTTGTCAATTTTTATGGTAGTTTAAATATGAATAAGCATAACTGTTTGAAAGGCTATTAAAATATTCATTCCTTTTTCAACAGTACGTGAGGGCAGAAAGTTTTTAAAAATATTTTAACCCTCCCAAAAATGCAGCTTAACAGATTGAGCACAAGAGCAGATATCAGTGTCCGTATACAGCATGACCGTACTAACAACAATCAAAAGGAAGCTGGATGGTATGCTCAAACAAGGCAAAGCTGGTGTCAGAGCAATGGGTGCTATCAAGAGTAAAGACAGGCACTTTGTCGTATTGAAGATGTGAATTTCTTAAAAAGACATAATTTTAAACATGCATGTACCTAATAAAACAGCTTCAAAATCCACGGAGCAGAAACAGGTGAACTACAATGAGAGCCAGAGAAATCCACAATTCCAGCAGGAGATCCCGTGCAGCTCTCTCAGTGACAGAGGGAGTGGCAAGAACGCCCACGAGGGTCTTAACGACCTGAACAACTCCATCAACCACTTGCTCTAATAGGCATTCTGTACAATTCTCCACCCAAATGTGACTCAATGTGAGTTCTTTTCCAGGTATGCGATGTGTTTGCCAAGTAAAGCATTTCTAGGCCAGACAATAATGATCAATAAATTCAAAAGAAGTGAAGTAATATAAAGTGTTCTCTCTGAGCACCAAGATCCTTAGAAAATCCCTAGATATTTGGAAACTCTTAAATAACCCACGGATCAGAGACGTGGTCCCCAGAAAACGAGAAAGTGCTGTGCACGGCAAGAACAGGGAAATGTGACATTTATGGGATGCGGTTAAAGCAGTTCTTAGAGTGCAGCTTCTATCACTGAACAGCCACATTAGAGAAGTCAAAAGGCCTTAAATCACAGCTTTGATCGTAGGGATTGAGAACAAGAAGAGCACATAGATCACACAGGAATCAGAAGCAAGTACATAATGAACGACTAGAGCAGAAATCGATGGGATACAAGGTGAATGAGGCCAACAGGAAAAAATCAGGGACACTGAGTGTGTGTGTGTGTGTGTTGAGAAGATCAACACACTGACATTCTCTAGGACGACGGGTCTGGTAAAAGAGGAAACAGAAGCCACCAACATCAGGAATGAGAATGTGACATCATTAATGATGTAAAGAATGAGAAGGGAATGTTATGAATAATTTTATGCCATTAAATTTGACAACTTAGATGAAGTGAAAAATCTCCTTGAAATACAAACTGTCAAGCTCACTCCAGTAGAGATACATGACCCGAGTAGGCCTGTCTGAAGGAATGAAGTTGAATTTGTAATTTAAAAACTTTCTTATAAGAACATATCAATTCCAGATGGCTGCCCTGATGAATTTATTTATATATATATTTTGCCAGTTCTATACAAACTCTCCCAGCTATTAAAGAAGAGAGAATCTTTCTCAATTAATTTTTTGAGACCAGTACTACTCTGATAGCAAAACTAGATTAAGTCATTACAAGAAAAGTGTACAGGCCAGTATCTTTTCTGAACATATATGCAAAAAATCTTTAAAAAATACCAAATAAGAACCAACAGTTTATAAAAAAACACACATCAAAACCAAATGAATTTCACCCCAAAGTGCAGAGTCAGGAAAATCTATGTAATTCATATCAACAAACCAAATTAACCAAAATATCGTGTCACTTGATGTAGAAAAGCTTTTGACAAAATGTTATACCCGTTTCAGATTAAAAACTTTCCATAACCTAAACAGGAAGGGGTACTTCCTCAACCTGATCAAAGGAACCAATAAAAATCGTGCCACTAAAATCGCCCGGGAAGATGAAAACCAGAATGCGCTGGCTCACCTAAGATCAGGAAGAAGGCAAGAACGCCTGCTACTTCTATTCACCTTGTGACACAGGCTCCACCCAGTGTCTTCCGGCAACAAAGGAAATAAAAGGCATTCCAGTTGGACAGACAAAAGTAAAACGCCTTTAACTGCACTTGAAAGTATCCCCTGGGGAGCGAGTCCTATGAAATACTCATCCCCCTTCCTCCACTATTTTCTCTCAGTTGTTAGCTCCCTTCATAGGCTAACTCGCTGCGCGCCTTTTCTGTTTCTCTCTCAAAAACCAGTGAGATAATAGGAAAGAAAAATGAGTTTCTGGCTCCCCTGCAGTGTTTGATTGCGAAGCTTTTTCCTAATATGTGTTCCCATCTTGAGTCATTTTGAAAAGGTTTAAGTTTCTTTTTTAAAAAATATGTTTTTATTGATTTCAGAGAGGAAGGGAGAGGGAGAGAGAGATACAAATATCAATGAGAGAAAATCATTGATCAGCTGCCTCCTGCACACCCCCTACTGGGGATCCAGCCAGAAACCCAGGCATGTGCCCTGACCGGGAATGGAACCGTGACTTCCTGGTTCACTGAGCCACACCGGCTGGGGAGGTTTCAGTTTCTTGAAATAAATGAAAAGATGCAAATATCCAAGCCAACAGCACTGCTCCCAGGACCACAATCATAATGCGCTGACCGAAAAGCAGTCTCTAGGTCACTGTGACCCTTGTACAATGAATCATAACATTTTCTAAATGAAACGCACCACAGGCCACTTACACGCATTAACATGAAAGCTTATTTAATAAAATAATTAGGAAGCGACAGTTAAATTTTCGCCCCATCTATTTCTTTTTTTACACATTAACCCAAATGCATTAGACTATGAGAAGAAATTAAAACGGGGAAAAAACCTTGAAATGCATTTTGATTATATACATTTTGAGTTAATTTTTCATATCGGGTCATACAGTGAAAGGTGGAAACTCTAGCGCACCTGGAATTTTCAGCACAGATGTAGAGTTCTACTAATAACATAGCTGCCTAATAATGGAGAAGTTGTATCTTTAAATCGAAAGGAAAAGAAAAAGATTAGCAATGGCAAGCTCACATTTCATGCGTTAGAAAATAATGTTATTTTCAAGTCATGCCTTTATCTCCCACCTGAAGTCAGCTCCTGCTCGTCGCCCGAATTCCGGAACCCCCGGGTCTGGACACATGTCGGAGACGAGGGCTTCGCCTCCCTGACTCACTGGAATAGAAGAGAGAGAAACATTATTATGATTGTGTGCAGCTACTGGGGAAATACCCAGAGAATACACTTATATTAGGCAGATTTGGTTCTTAAGTTATGACTTAAAATGCTATTTCTTTAAGGATCAAGACAGTTGAGCTGCAATAAAATGAACGATTATTCTTATCCTTATCCCATGAGAGGGTTCCGTTTTATTGGTTTGAGCTCCTCTGGACTGAAGGGCTCTATTATTTGCTCATTACGGTTGACTCTGTGGCCGGCTACAGTGACAAGAAAAGAGAGCTGCCCGGGAAGATGTCTAAGTTTATCAGAAGGAAGACTTCACTCGCTCCCCAGGGAGGAAATAATGATGCTCATTATCGATGAAGCCCTAGACGAGAGATATTTTAAATAAAATGGACCGTTACACTTTAGCCATCAAACACGTTCATCACTGAACTTCAGCGAGCTTCGGTTTTCTTGCACAGATGGGCTGATTCACCTCCTGACTGGTTCGTGGAGCATCTGTCCCCCGGGGGGTATGCTGTCCAGTCACAGGACAGTTTCTTAAGGACTCGATTGCTTATTAGACAGAGTGGCTGCCACTCCAACACTCACCCCGCCCTATTTAACGTGTCCACTCCAAGTTAGGACAGAGGAAAAGCCAGAGGGTCTCTATTAGCTCAGAGGCCTCTTCACAGAGGCCCTCCTGCAGCCTCCGCTCAAGTCTCAGAGAACGGAAGTGAGCCACAAGCCAACAGATGAGCAAGTTGCTTGCAAGAAAGACAGAACTGCCTTTTCTCCATTTCATTTAAAAGCAATTCCACAAGCTGAGGTCAGAGTAGGAACCTCCATGCCCTCATTCCAATGGTGGAAACATCAAATAAACAACCACAGGCAAAGGCATGTTATAGGTGCTCTGCACACCATGCAGAGATCCAGCGCAACCCAGCACATGCCCGTGAGGAAAACCCACAGTCACCTGGTCCACGGGAGAGAATGCCGTGGACTTCTCACGTGGCCCATCTCACACCTTCTTTGACATGTCGCAGGGCAGGTGGGAGGAAGTAGCCTAGTCCTGGTTTTCTTACTGGAGACAGAGGAGCTGAGAGGACCTGGTCTGCCATGTGCTGGCCCGCCTGCGGGCTGCTTGAGGGACTGGGGTCTGTCTTGCCTGACTTGGAGCTCAGATGGGCAATAGCAGTGGACGCCATGGAATGAATGGAGGAGCCACCTGCATGTCAAAGGTGCACAGGGACGGCAGCCGTGTGGACACCTGGGCAGGAAATTGCAGGCGGCAGAATTCAACAGGATGCCTAAGGCCCCGAGAAGAAGCTGTGGCGGGGCTGTTGGGATATTAAGATCTTTTAAAGTGACTGAGGGAGGGGGTAAGGGGAGCACACACA